AAATTATTAAATTATAAACCTAAAAAATTGGAAAAATTTAAAATTGAAAATCCAAATTTTGAAAATTGGAAAAAACAAAGAAATTCGGATAATTGAATTGAAATTAAATTCAAAAATTTAATAATTGAGAAAAAAACATAAATTTAAAAAACGGATGTTTATAAAGTTGAGAAATGTATTTATTAAAAACCGGACAATTGATAAATGAAAGTATTTTAAAAATATAGAAATGAAAATAAAAAAATTTCAAAACTGAAAATTTGGATAGTTGCAAAATCCAAAAATGAAAACTGATTGATTAAAGACCGGACAATTCAGACATCGAAAAATTGGATAATTGCAAAATTGAAAAATCGAATCATTGCAAAATTATGAAATTGAAATATTAAAAACCTCGTGGAACATTGGAAATCGAAATTTTGAAATAATAAAACTCAAAAAATTAGAACTAATCGAAACAATGAAATTCGGATAATTGAACAATAAAAAATAAAGATCGTATATCGTTAAAAAACAATATAAAAATTGTGAAATAATTAAAGTGAAAAATAAAAAAATTGAAAAATTAAAACTGTAATTTTGAACAATTAAAATTAAAAAAATCGGAAAGTTACAGAATTGAAAAATTGAATAGTTGTGCAACGTACAATCGAAAAATTATTAAATTGTAAAAATGAAAAATTACAAAATCGTTGAATTGGAACATGATTAAGTCGAAAAATCAAGATATTGACAAATCGAAAAATTGTAAAAATATAAAACAGAAAAATAAAAAAAAATACAAAACTGAAAACTTGAATAATTGCAAAATCCCAAAATTATTAAATTGTAAACCTGAAAAATTGCAAAAGTATAAAATTGAAAACCCAACAACTTTAAAATCGAAAAATTGCAAAATTATGAAATTGAAAAATCAAAACTTGAAAAATTGGAAATCGAAATTTTGAAAAATAAAAAATAAAAAATTGGAAAATCGAAACAATGAAATTCATAATCGATAAATCGAAAATTGAATAACTTAAAAAAGTAAATTTAAAAAACGTAGAATTATAAAATTGAAAATTGAGATATTCATTAATTAAAAACCGGACAATTGAGAAATCGAAAAATTGTAAAAATATAGAACTGAAAAACCAAAAAATTGGAAAACTGAAAATTTGGATAATTGCAAAACCGAAAAATTATTAAATTATAAACCTAAAAAATTGGAAAAATTTAAAATTGAAAATCCAAATTTTGAAAATTGGAAAAAACAAAGAAATTCGGGTAAATGAATTGAAATTAAATTCAAAAATTTAATACTTGTGAAAAAACATAAATTTAAAAAACGGATGTTTATAAAGTTGAGAAATGTATTCATTAAAAACCGAACAATTGATAAATGAAAGTATTTTAAAAATATGGAAATAAAAATCAAAAAATTTCAAAACTGAAAATTTGGATAGTTGTAAAAACCAAACATGAAAACTGATTGATTAAAGACCGGACAATTCAGAAATCGAAACATTGGATAATTGTAAAATGGAAAAATTATGAACCTGAAATCTGAAAACTCGCAAAAATATAAAATTGAAAATCAAGCAATTTAAAAATCGAAAAATTGCGAAATTATGACATAAAAAATCAAAAAATTGAAAAATCGAATAATGTCAAAAAACGAAGAATTATAACATTGAAAATTGAAAAATCATTAAAATGTGAATCTGAAAAATATAAAAGTGAAAATCAAACAATTTTAAAACATAAAATTGAAAATTCAAAAAAAAACGACAAATTGAAAAATCGAAAAATTGTAAAAAATAAAACTCAAAAATCAAACAATTTCAATGTTACAAAACTGAAAAACCGTAATTTTAAAATTAAAAATTTGAACAATCGAAAATTTGCAAAATTATGAAATCGAAATATCAAAAACTAGGGAAAGTCGAATAATTGAAAAATCAAAAATTTGAAAAATAAAATGGAATTTTAAATAATTGAAATTCAAAAAATTGAAAATTATGAAACTGAAAAAAAAAATAATTTTGAAAAATTAAAAATCAAAAATTGGAAAAATGAAATTCATTATCGAAAAATCGAAAATTGAATAAGTTAAAAAAGAAAATTTAAAAAACGTGGAATTATAAAATTGAAAATTGAAAAATGGAAAAATTGTAAAAATATAGAACTGAAAAATCAAAAAATTACAAAACTGAAAATTTGGATAATAACAAAACCGAAAAATTATTAAATTATAAACCTGAAAAATTGTAAAACTTTTAAATTGAAGATCGAAATTTTGAAAATTGGGAAAAAAACAAAGAAATTCGGATAATTGAATTGAAATTAAATTCAAAAACTGATAATTGAAAAAGAGAAACTAATTTAAAAAACGAAGAATTATAAAGTTGAAAATTGAGAAATCGATTCATTAAAAACCGGACAAAATGAAAAATCAAAAAATTACAAAATTTGGATAGTTGTAAAATCCAAAAATGAAAATTGATTGATTAAAGACCGGATAATTGAGAAATCGAAAAATTGGACAACCGTAAAATTGAAAAATTATGAAACTGAAAGCTGAAAACTTGCAAAAATATATAATTGGAAATCGAGCAATTTAAAAGTCGAAAAATTGCGAAATTATGACATTGAAAATCAAAAACCTGAAAAATTAGAAACTGAAATTTTGAAAAATTAAAAAATTGGAAACTCGAACAACGAAGTCCGGATAATTGAGAAATCAAAATTTAAAAAACGAAAAATGTCAAAAAACGAAGAATTATAACACTGAAAATTGAAAATTTGATTAAATAAAAACTGGACTAAATTGGGTAAATCAAAAATTTTAAAATATGTATAAAAATTGAAAAATCAGATTTAAAATAGCTAATGAAACTGAAAATTTAAAAACTTATTGAAAAATTGCAAAATTATAAAACTGAAAAATAAAAAATTATCAAAATGTAAACCTGAAAAATTTCAAAAATATAAAATTTAAGATTGAAAAATTGCGAAATTATGAAATTGAAAAATCAAAAATTGAACTGAAAAAAGTAAATTTAAAAAGCGTAACATTAAATCGGACAATTGAGAAATCGAAAAATGTAAAAATATAGAACTGAAAAACCAAAGGAATTACAAAAATGAAAAATTGGGTAAGTAATTGTAAAATCGAAAAATTATTAAATTGCAAACCTGAAAAATTATAAAAACATAACATCGAAAGTCGGATTATCGAAAGATGGAAAATTGAATAATCGAAAAAAGTAAATTAAAAAATAAAATCGAAAATTTTGAAATTGATTAATTAAAAACCGGACAATTGAGCAATCGAAAAATTGTAAAAATAGAGAACTGGAAAATCAAAAAACCATAAAATTGAAAATAGAACGATTTGCGAAAATATTGAAATTGAAGAATCAAAAACAGAAAAGTGAATAAAAGAAAAATTAAGAAAACGAATAATATAAATATAAAATTGAAATTTTGAACACTTAAACAAAAAAATGAAAAATTGTAAAAATACAAAATTGAAAAATCGAAGGATTCCAAGACCGAAAAATTGAAAAATCGAGAATTTAGAAAATGTAATAATTGAAAAACTGATTCATTAATAACTGGACAATTGAGAAATCGAAACATTTTGGAAATATAAAACAGAAAAATAAACAAAAATGCTGAATTACAAAATTCAAAAATTAGTGAAGCTTTTTCGAAAAATTATAAGATTTAATATTGGGAATTTTATTTAATTTTTTTATGATAATCCCTATAACAATAACAACAAAACAACATAATTCATTCATTAATTTTTTTAAGTCACCCTGTATAAGCAAGTCTAAAAAGTATGAATGCAACGATAAATCACAACTAAAAACTCATCAGATTTTGCACATTTCGGGCAGATTTAGGAATTTAACTCGTTACTATGGAAATTTGCATTTTTTTTTTGACATTTTAGGTAGGATTTATTCGGGAAAATTTTGAGCAGACGTCATAAATTTTTTGGAGGGGATAAACAGATATATTTGGATAAAAGTTTGCCGTGCTTACGATAAGTTAAGACACATAAAATTTGACAACAATCGGTTGCACAATTATCTGTCTAATAAAAATTGACACAGGCGATAGACAGACAGGAAGTAAAAATTTCCCTTGCTGAAGTTTACCCACTATTTATAAGCAACATAAAAAAGAACTCTTTGTGAAAAAAATGGTCTCGAATTTTATAGTTCATTATTAATAAAACCTTTACGGTGTTTTCACATTGAGTTTATAATGAAAAGCCGCCCATATTGCGAAAACATATTTTAATAAATAAGTGCTACAAATTTAATCAAAATTCAAGACCGGCGAAACATATTTTTAGAACGAGCCTTCGCCTAGCTAGACTTAATCAATTTTGTTGTAGGAACAATGATAAGATCTTTAATGTGTTTTATTACTTTCGCGCTACAACCAAACATATCGCAGCTGTTAATGATCGCGACTACATTCAAAAACATTTTTTTTACAAGTCCATCTATTCGGTGAACGGAGTATATTTCGCTTCTTGTTCCGAATACAATCAAACTTTCCCCCGTTTTAAAAACCGCTTTGTCTGAGCGATTCCCTCCGCAATCGCGAAACTGTCGAGGTATTAAAACCTCTCCTATACACATAATTCCGTGGAAGCAATTTCCCAAAACGTAGCGCCAAGCAACAACCCAGGCGACGGGGGAGAAGCGGAGCACCTCAGGCGAGAATCGTCATTTATTTATAACCCCTAAGCTTTATCCGTATCAGTTGGTGATCCAGCACAAAACATGGCCGACACTTTGTCATCGACACAGGTCTTGACAAACCGCGCACCCTTCGGCCCCGGAACGAGCTTAATAAATTAGATGTGGGGAGAGCGGGAGACAAAAACGCGCCGCTATTTACTAAGTTTCGCGTAATTTTTGAGATAAAGAGAAACATCGCGAGTTTACCGATTGATGCCGGGAAGGAGAGGAAAAAAGGGCGATACTGTTACGTACATGACCCAATTTATCTTCTTTCCGTCGCTTGACATCCTGTTCCACGTCTGGAGGCGATCTCGATCTGTATTTATCTCGGTCGCCTGGAGAAACAGAATTCTGAAACAAAGAAGCACTGTTTGAAAACTACGTGTCGGGCTATTTGCAGGGAGGCGGGATGTTCTTGGAGGGTTTTAGAACGTACTTAGACTGCAGTTTCTGTAAGGCTTTTAGTGATAGTAACTTTGGAATATATCGATTAAGTTTTACTATTTGTACTATTGCATGTTTAGGATCCGCACCGTTTCTCCTTAAAGAATTTTATTTCCAACGAAAGCACCTTAATATCGCCATTTATACAAGCTCCAAAAAAAAAACAATGTAACAACTTTGTTTACAATCTCCTCTTGAAGTCTAAAATTTACTATTATTTTTTTAATATGTAGGTATAAGTTTTTAAATAAAAATGTATATGGTATAGACCGTTGAACACCCTGTATATATATCTTTGAGAATATTTACTTACACATCCATGTACTGTGACTTTTTTATAAAATCATTACTCTTTCCGTATTATCTTTACTGCATTTGTTAACAATCAATGCCTTCTTCAATAATATTCAGGGTGATTCAGAGATTTGAAACACCCTGTAAAATTATTAAACAAAACTGTACTTCTTTTTAAACTGCTGACCAGAAGGTTCTATAGTCTGATATATTTTTGTCCTCGTTAGTTCTGGAAAATTTAAATTTACGGAAACATATATAGGGTCCTCTATTTTTAAAAAAATTAACTCTGGTTTTTGAAGGAAATACCTTGTCTAAATAGAAACATTCCTTTCAGCTTGAGGAATTCAAAATTTAAAGAAAAATGAGTAATCTTTTACAATTAAATCGCTGATCACCCTGTATATATTTTTCCAGAATATTTACTTGCTTTTTTAAATAAAATTATTACTCTTTCTGTATCATCTTTACTACATTTGTTTATAATGCCTTATTGGAATCTAAAACTGAAATTTAGTTTTATTTAACATAGAGGCTGATTCAAAAATTTGAAGCACTCTGTATACTATTTCAAAAAAAGTACTTCTTTTTAGCTTTTTTTTTTTAAAGAAAATTTTGATACATTAATGTTTTTCTTATAAAATTATTACTTTTTCTAAATAATTTTCCAATTTTTCGATTCGATTCGTTTTTCCTTATTTCCAGCTTTTTGATTCACTAATTTTTTTCGATTTTTAAGTTTCTTAATCATTACTTTTTCAATGATTCAATTTTCCGTTTATTTTTTTGGTTTTTCGATTTTTGAGTTTTTCCATTTTTATATTTTTTTGTGTTCTGATGTTATAATTTGTTTGTTGAATTTCAATATTTTCGAATTTTCGTTTCTTCAGTTTTACGAGTTGCAACTCGTTCGATTTCCCAACTTTTGAATTTTTCAATTTTCCATTTCTTCAGTTTTAATTTGGAATTTTTCGCTTTGGGTTTTTCTTAATTTTTTTCAGTTTCTCATTTTTCTTATTTTCAATGTGAAAATTTTCGATTTCTGGATTTTTCAGTTTTTCGCTTTGTAATTTTTGGATTTTTTAATTTTTCGTTCCTTCAATTACTCATTTGCAATTTTTCTGGTTTTTATTTTAAATAAATATGTAATAATAATCATAATTTAAGAAAAACAATCAATTTTTCAATTTCCCGATATTTGATTTTACATTTTTCGTTGTTTCATTGTTACAGTTTTACGACTTTACAAATTTGACGATTCGAATCGTATTTTCTTATTTCTAAGTTTTCGATTAACTACGTTTTTTTCGATTTTTAAATTTAGTTAGTTTCATTTTTTGGGTTCTTCAGTTCATCGACTGGCAAATTTTAGATTTTCCACTTTTTTTTAAATTTTTTTCGATTTTCTAGATTTTTGATTTTCAATTTTTTGATTTTTCAACTTTCCGAATAAAGAAAAATGGAAAAATTGCAAAATTATTGAAAAATCAGAAATGAAAAAACGAAAAAGAATAAGTTGAAAACTTGAGAAATTGAAATATTGAAACTTAAAGAAATCGGAAAGTCGGATAACTGGGAATCCAAAAATTGCAAAATTAAAAAAATTTAAAATTGGAAAATCGAGGAATTGAAAATTCAAAGATTGAAAATTTGAAAAAAAATTATAAAATCGAAAGAAACATTGAAAAAAGGGGAAAAAATGACGATTATTAAATTTTCCGCTTTTACAAATTTTGGAATATTTTTCCGAACAAAGAAAAATGAAAAAATTGCAAAATTACTTAAAAATCAAATATAAAAAAACGAAAAAGAGTTAAGTTGAAAACTTGAGAAATTGAAATATTGAAAATTAAAGAAATCGGAAAGTCGGATAACTGAGAATCCAAAAATTGCAAAATTAAAAAAATTTAAAATTGGAAAATCGAGGAATGAAAAATCAAAAACTGAAAATTGGAAGAAAAATTAGAAAATCGAAAGAACCATTGAAAAAAAGGAAATAAAAAAAATTGACGATTCCTAAATTTTCCGTTTTTACAATTTTGGGGTTTTCTAATTTTTCGATTAACTAAATTTTTTTCGATTTTCAAATTTAGTCTTTCAATGTTTCATTTTTTGGGTTCTTCAGTTCATCGGCTTGCAAATTTTCGATTTTCCACTTTTTCGATTTTGCAGTTTCTGGTTTTTCCAGTTTTTCAATTTTTTTCGATTTTTTTGATTTTCAATTTTTTGATTTTTCAACTTTCCGAATAAAGAAAAATGGAAAAAGTGCAAAATTACTGAAAAATCAAAAATGAAAAAACGAAAAAGAATAAGTTGAAAACTTGAGAAATTTTAACATTGAAACTTAAATAAATCGGAAAGTCGGATAACTGGGAATCCTTAAAAAATTTTAAAATTGGAAAATCGAGGAATTAAAAAGTCAAAGATTGAAAATTTGAAGAAAAATTATAAAATCGAAAGAAACATTGAAAAAAAAGGAAATAAAAAACAATCTGACAATTCTTAAATTTTCCGCTTTTACAAATTTTGGGATTTCTACTTAATTTTTCGATTCGAATCCTATTTTCTTATTCAAAGTTTTCGATTAACTAAATTTTTTTCGATTTTTTAAATTTAGTCTTCAAATGTTTCAGTTTTTGGTTTCTTCAGTTCATCGCTTTGCAAATTTTAGATTTTCCACTTTTTTGATTTTGCAGTTTCTCGTTTTTCCGGTTTTTCAATTTTTTCAATTTTTTTGGATTATTTAGTTTTTTTGATTTTCAATTTTTTGATTTTTCGACTTTCCGAATAAAGAAAAATGGAAAAATTGCAAAATTATTGAAAAATCAAAAAAGAATAAGTTGAAAACTTGAGGAATTGAAATATTGAAACTTAAAGAAATCGGAAAGTCGGATAACTGGGAATCCAAAAATTGCAAAATTAAAAATTTTAAAATTGGAAAATCGAGGAATTGAAAAATCGAAGATTGAAAATTTGAAGAAAAATTATAAAATCGAAAGAAACGTAGAAAAAAAAGGAAATAAAAAAATTGACGATTCTTAAATTTTCCGCTTTTACAAATTTTGGGTTTTCTAATTTTTCGATTCGAACCGTATTTTCTTATTTCTAAGTTTTCGATTAACTAAATTTTTTTCGATTTTTTAAATTTAGTCTTCCAATGATTCATTTTTTTGTTTCTTCAGTTCATCGACAACCAAATTTTAGATTTTCCACTTTTTCGATTTTGCAGATTTTGGTTTTTCCAGTTTATCAATTTTTCAATTTTTTCCGATTTTTTGATTTTCAATTTTTTGATTTTTCAACTTTCCGAATGAAGAAAAATGAAAAAATTGCAAAATTATTGAAAAATCAAAAATTAAAAAACGAGAAAGAATAAGTTGAAAACTTGAGAAATTGAAATCTTGAAACTTAAAGAAATCGGAAAGTCGGATAACTGGGAATCCAAAAAAAGAAAAATTAAATTGGAAAATCCATGAATTGAAAAATCAAAAATTGAAAATTTGAACAAAAATTATAAAATCGAAAGAAACATTGGAAAAAAAGAACTAAAAAAAAAAAGACGATTCTTAAATTTTCCGCTTTTACAAAATTTGGGTTTTCTAATTTTTCGATTCGAATCGTATTTTCTTATTTCTAAGTTTTCGATTAACTAAATTTTGTCTATCTTTAAATTTAGTCTTCCAATGTTTCATTTTTTGGTTTCTTTAGTTCATCGACTTGCAAATTTTAGATTTTCCACTTTTTCGATTTTGCAGTTTTTCAATTTTTTCCGATTTTTTAGTTTTTTTTATTTTCAATTTTTTTGATTTTTCAACTTTCCGAATAAAGAAAAATGGAAAAATTACAAAATTATTGAAAAATCAAAAATGAAAAAACGAAAAAGAATAAGATGAAAACTGGAGAAATTGAAATATTGAACCTTAAATCGGGAAGTCGGATAATTGGGAATCCAAAAATTGGAATTGAAAAATCAAAGATTGAAAATTTGAAGAAAAATTATAAAATCGAAAGGAACATTGAAAAGTCGAAAAATTAAAAATTGAAACACTGAAAAATCGAAAATTACTCTTTCTCTATCATCTTTACTACATTTGTTTATAATGCATTATTGAAGTCTAAAACTGAAATTTAATTTTATGAATATAAAGGCTGCTTAAAAAATTGGAAGCACCCTGTACAATATTTCGAAAAAAGTACGTACTTCTTTTTTAGCTCATCAGCTTGAGAAATTTAAATAAGTTTTATCAAGCCGTGTTAGAAGAAAAAACATGAATCTTTCACAATTAGATCACTGAACACCCTGTATATACATATTTTTTTTTGCAGAAAATGTATTACATTGATTACATATTAATGGTTTTTTAATAAAATTATTACTTTTTCTAAATCATTTTTACTACATTTGTTTGCAATACCTTCTTGAATTCAAACATTGAGATTTAGATTTTTTGGAAATATATATATTTTTTAATAAAAATGCACTTCTTTTTAAACTGTTAACTAAAATATCTTCATTGTCTGATTTTTTTCGTATTAGCAGTGTTAAAACAATTTTTCAAGAGTAGAAAAAAATCAGTAAAGTTTCACAATTAAACCGCTGAACACCCTGTATATATTTTTTCCAAAATATTTACATTATGACTGTCTTTTAAATAAAATTATTACTCTTTAATTATTACCACATTTATTTACAGCCCTTTTTTAATCCTAAAATTGAAATTTTGTTGTTTTGAATATACAGGGTGAATAAAAAATTTGGAACACCCTGCATAATTTTTAAATAAAAATATACGCCTTTTTATTGTCTGACATTTTTTTTGTTAGTTGTGGGGAATTTTAAATTTACAAAAATATATAGGGTGTCCTATACATAAATGTAACATTTATGCATGAGTTTCAAACCAAACAGCTTGTAATGAAGTGAACATAATTACTTTTAGTCTGTATCCTTTAAATCAGCGTTAAACTTCTTCTCGATACACAGGACATGAGCAATCTTGCACAGTTAGACTGAACATCCTGTATATTTTTTCTCGGTTTGTTTACTTTTGTCTGATCCAACGTTCGCCGGTGTTTACAGCGCAATTTTAGACTCTAACGTGTAATAAATTTTATAGCTGCTAATTTAATTCGTTTTTCACAGACCGTTCAAACGTAAACCTCTTAAATTTTATTATTTTTTTTTAATTTCGGAGATTTTTCACCGTTAGTAATATTTTCCAAAACAAAGTCATTTTCGGGCACTAACCAGTCTTTCTTCGGCATTCGCGGATCCAGGCTTAATATCAACGGGTTCCCTGGAATGGAGATCTGCAGATTTGAGAAGGGGGTGCGCGCCTCCGGCCACGGAGGCGTGGGGTCCCGAGGGCGCTCCGGGAACTCCCGCGCCCAGACCGGCGCCGAATCCCAGTAGTCCAGCGGCGGGACCCATCCCTGGGAGCCCGGGGTGCGGGCCGATGGGCAGTCCGGGACCGTGGGCACCATGGGGCAGTTGCTGGGCGTGGATCTGTTGCTGATAAAATTACACAGTCATTACCAAAATTACGGTCATGCGGAGGAACCGACGGTTACGTGTTAATAAAAAACAAAAGTGTTTTTAAATCTGAATACACTTTTGGTTGGCCGGATCATGCCATGCATTAACTCAACTCCCACTCACTGTACACTTAACCACCTAAGGTACGCTAATAGAACTACTTACAAGCAATTGCTGAAGACCTTGTTGTTGTTGTTGCTGGAAACAACAACACACAAAATTAAAACAATATAAACCAACACCATGTACGTCAAAACCCAAAAAAATAAACGTCGGGAAGTAATTTAGAGGTGAAAGAGTAGGCACTACTTATATTGTTTTAAAATGGCTCTTTGAAAATCATCACAGGCCAGCTGAGTTTTCGGGTGCTATAATTTTTTTTAAGAAAAAAACGTTCGCTGTGATGATATTGAAAGATTGGTGGCTGGTCGCCGCGAACCGTCGGCGTTGCACATGGCAAAATTCTATTCGCCTTTGGAATGATCACCAGTCACGTGGGAATGAAATTTTGCCACAGCTCACTGCGCAAAACCAGCCGTTGGCTGAAACCGGGCTAACAAATCCAAAGTATCATGCAAGTTGCAAGAACTACGAGGCTAATCAAAACATATAAGTAGTCTCTCGGAGGAGGAAAAGTCGTAACTAGATGGTAAATGGGCGAGGGAAAAAATTACAAACCCCTATAATGGCGTTGAGTTCTGTCATCGTTACTTGTTTCGCTCTTTCGACCGCCGAAGCCACTTGCTGTTGATGTTCTTGGTTTAGGAACGGCAGCACTTGGGCGATAATTGCGTTTAAGCGTTTTGCGATTTCAGTCTGAAACAAACATATTTATAGTTAGTTGCTTGTAATCGGGCTGTTCATGGTTTATTGGATTCTTAATGTTACGGCTATTTTTGCGAATGGTAAGTGTAATTACGTCTTTATGGTATGGCGGAGTAATGACATATGAGGTAATTATTTTAGTATTGATGGAACTGTAAACTGGGATTATTATATCGACGTTTGTTGAATTATGTATAGCTTTCGTTGTTACGAAAATGGTAGCTGCTCACTATTTAATACGATTAATATTTAAACGGAATAAAATTATGACACTATTTATGACTTAATTAATGGAAAAACGGTTTCCTGGAATAGCTCAACTATAATCGAATCGAAAAAACAGGCCTTATGAGACTGCATTATTTCAAAAAAGAACATTAAGAATGCGAGCGCAGCGAGCACATATATGAGTTTCAACATTAAATACAATTTGTTTACAATGCCTTCTTGAATTCTACAACTGAAATTTATTTTATTGAATCTACAGGCTGATTTAAAATTTTGAACACTGTGTATAATTTTTAAACAAAGATGTACTTCTTTTTAATCAGCCGGCCCACGTTCTATTAGTTCCCGTTCGCATTCTACCAAAGAATATACAATTAACCCCGCCCACCCACCCCGCCTCTATTTCAGTGATTCATTTTATCTAGTCCGAATGACAGATGAATCTCAATTGATCTGAATTGAACAGAGATAAAATCGTTAGAATGAGAGTAGCGTGCGTGGGCGGCGTTAGTACCTGCAAAGATAAGACTGAATTTGGTAAATGACATATCCTTTAAGAAAATAAAGGGTGGGTGGGCGGGGCTAAAACTTGCTAAGATAGAACTGAACAATATTTAGAGTGGTCATTGCAATGAAGAGGGGGTGGGTGAGTGGGGCTACTCCTTGCTTATAAGAGACTCTGTATAGGCAAAATTTAAACTTAGCCCCGCCCACCCACCCGTTCTCTCATTTTTTCTTCTGAAATAAGAAATAAATCTTAAGCAAACAGTATGTCAAAAAAATTGCGATTAGCGCCTTTTTTAACAGCCTACGTTCTATTATTTCCCATTCGCACTATATCAAACAAAATTAAACCTTGTGACAAAATAGAAGGCGGGTGGGTGGGTCAACATCTATATTCAATAAAACTAAATTTCGATTTTAGACTTCAAGAAGCCATTATAAACAAATTTAATAAAGATTCTACAGAAAGAGTAATAATTTTATATGCGGATTTTCAGATTTACAGTTTATTAATTTTTCAATTTTACAATTATCGAATTTTTCAGTTTTGTAATTTTTTTAGTTTTTAATTAAATTTTTTGATTTTTAATTTTTTAAAATTTTGATTTTTAAACATTTTTGTGTTACAATTATCTGATTTTCAAATTTTTCGATTTTTTAAATTTTTCGATTTTACAGTTATCCAATTTTTCAATTTTGTAATTTTACAAATTTTCAGTTTTTTTAATTTAATTGTTCAACACTCTAGTTTTAATTTTTCAAATTTTTGATATTTCAGTTTAGTTATTATATTTTTTTCAGTTTTCGATTTTTCGATTATTGGAATTTCATTGTTTTGATTTTCTAATTTTTTAATTTTTAATATTCGAAATTTTTTATTTCCCATTTTCCAAGCTCTTAATTTTTCAGTTTCATAATTTTGCAATTTTTTGATTTTTAATTGTTGCAAATTTCAGTTTTAATTTTTCAACTTTTTGATCGTTCAGTCTAATTCTTTTACGATTTTTCGTCTTTAAAAGTATCCAATTTTTCAAATTTACACCTTTTTATTTTTCAATTTTACATTTTTGGACTCGGTTTTTAATTAATCAGTTTTTCAATTTTCAATTTTTATTTCTCTGTTACCCGAACTTCGTGTTTCGATTTCCCAATTTTCTGATTTTTAGTTTTTCAAAATTTCGACATTTAATTTTTCGAGTTTTTGATTTCTCAATTTCAGTTTTGCAATTTTGGATTTTTGAGTTTTATTTTTTTTCAATTTTTCGATTTCTCTACATTCAATAAAACTAAATTTCGGTTTTAGGCTTCAAGAAGGCATTATAAACAAATTTAAAAAGATGCTACAGAAAGAGTAATAATTTTATACGCGGATTTTCAGATTTACAGTTTATTAATTTTTCAATTTTACAATAATCGAATTTTTCAGTTTTGTATTTTTTTTTTTATTTTTCAGTTCAATTTTTTGATTTTTAATTTTTCCAAATTTTGATTTTTAAACATTTTTGAATTTTACAATTATCTATTTTCCAATTTCTCGATTTTTAAAATTTTTCGATTTTACAGTTATCCAATTTTTTAATTTTACAAATTTCCATTTTTATTTTTTCAAGTTTTTGATGTTTCACTTTAATTATTCATTTTTAAATGTACCCGATTTTTCAGTTTTTGATTTTTCGATTATTGGAATGTCATTGTTTTGATTTTCTAATTTTTTAATTTTTAATATTCGAAATTTTTGGTTTTCCATTTTCCAAGTTCATAATTTTTCAATTTCATAATTTTGCAATTTTGTAATTTTACAATTTTTTGATTTTTAATTGTTGAAAATTTCAGCTTTAACTTTTCAACTTTTTAATCGTTGAGTGTAATTTTTTACAATTTTTCGTCTTTAAAGGTATCCAATTTTTCAAACTTACACCTTTTTTATTTTTCAATTTTACATTTTTACAATTTCTGGATTTCTCAATTACTCGGTTTTTCAATTTTCAATTTTATAATTCTTCTTTTTTAAAATTATTTGTTTTTTCAATTATTCAATTTTTATTTCTCTATTACCCGAACTTAGTGTTTCGATTTCCCAATTTTCTGATTTTTAGTTTTTCAAAATTTCGATATTTAATTTTTCGAGTTTTTGATTTCTCAATTTCAGTTTCGCAATTTTTGATTTTTGAGTTTTTTATTTTTGCAATTTTTCGATTTCTCTACATTCAATAAAACTAAATTTCGGTTTTAGACTTCAAGAAGGCATTATAAAGAAATTTAGTAAAGATGCTGCAGAAAAAGCAATAATTTTATGAGCGGATTTTCAGATTTACAGTTTATTAATTTTTCAATTTTACAATTATCGAATTTTTCAGTTTTGTAATTTTTTGATTTTTCAGTTAAATTTTTTGATTTTTAATTTTTCAAAATTTTGATTTTCAAACATTTTTGTATTTTACAATTATATGATTTTCCAATTTCTCAATTTTTTAAATTTTTTGATTTAAGAGTTTTCCAATTTTTCAATTTTGTAATTTTACAAATTTTCAGTTTTAATTTTTCAAGTTTTTGATGTTTCAGTTTAATTATTCATTATTAAAGGTACCCGATTTTTCAGTTTTTGGATTTTCGATTATTGGAATTTCATTGTTTTGATTTTCTAATTTTTTAATTTTTAATATTCGAAATTTTTGGTTTTCCATTATGCAAGTTCTTAATTTTTCAATTTCATAATTTTGCAATTTTGTAATTTTACAATTTTTTCATTTTTAATTGTTGAAAATTTCAGCTTTAACTTTTCAACTTTTTGATCGTTGAGTGTAATTTTTTACAATTTTTCGTCTTTATAGGTATCCAATTTTTCAAAGTTACACCTTTTTTATTTTTCAATTTTCAATTTTATAATTCTTTTTTTTTTAAATTATTTGTTTTTTCAATTATTCAATTTTTATTTGTCTATTACCCGAACTTGGTGTTTCGATTTCCCAATTTTCTGATTTATAGTTTTTCAAAATTTCGATATTTAATTTTTCGAGTTTTTGATTTCTCAATTTCAGTTTTGCAATCTTTGAGTTTTATATTTTACTACAATTTTTCGATTTCTCTACATTCAACAAAACTAAATTTCGGTTTTAGACTTCAAGAAGGCATTATAAACAAATTTAGTAAAGATGCTGCAGAAAGAGTAATAATTTTACATGCAGATTTTCAGTTTATTAATTTTTCAATTTTAGAATTATTGAATTTTTCAGTTTTGTAATTTTTTTATTTTTCAGTTCAATTTTTTGATTTTTAATTTTTCAAAATTTTGATTTTTAAACGTTTTTGTATTTTACAATTATCTGATTTTCCAATTTCTCGATTTTTAAAATTTCTCGATTTTACAGTCATCCAATTTTTTCAATTTTGCAATTTTACAAATTTCCAGTTGTTTTAATTTTAATTGTTCAGAACTTCAGTCTTAATTTTTCAAGCTTTTGATATTTCAGTTTAATTATTATGTATTTTTTCAATTTTAAAGGTACCCGGTTTTTCAGTTTTTGATTTTTCAATTATTGGAATTTCATTGTTTTGATTTCTAATTTTTCAATTTCAATATACGAAATTCAAAATTTTTCGTCTTTAAAGGTATCCAATGTTCCAAACTTACACCTTTTTTATTTTTCAATTTTACATTTTAACAATTTTTGGATCTCTCAATTACTCGATTTTTAATTAATCAGTTTTTCAATTTTCAATTTTATAATTCTTCTTTTTTTAAATTATTTGTTTTTTCAATTATTAAATTTTTATTTCTCTATTACTCGAACTTGGTGTTTCGATTTTCCAATTTGTTTTTCAAAATTTCGATATTTAATTTTTCGAGTTTTTGAGTTTTCAATTTGAGTTTCGCAATTTTCGATTTTTCGATTTCTCTACATTCAATAAAACTAATTTCGGTTTAAGACTTCAATAAGGCATCATAAACAAATTTAATAAAGATTCTACAGAAAGTCTAATAATTTTATTAAAAAAAAAAAAAACATAGTGTGCATGCAAGTAAATATGTGGAAAAAAATATTTACAGGGTGGTCAGCGATCTAACTGCAAAAGATTACTCATTTTTCGTGCACTTTTGAAAAATTATTTTAACACTCTTTGATTAAACTCATTTAAATTCTTCTAGTTGAAAGAAGTGTTTATTCATATTTTAGGCAAGGTATTTCGCTCAAAAACCAAAATTGAACTTTTTAAAAATAGAACACCCTATATATTTTCGTAAATTAAAATTCTCCACA